ATGTGAGAGAATTGGCTATCTGCAAGGATGTTGCCCAGGGGATGCCCAGATGTTTTGATATTTTACCATGCCCCGCATGGGAAGCTGGAGCTGACAGAAGGAGCTCATCCATGTTGTCCCCGGATTCGAATCTCCAACCTGTCGGTCTTCAATCCTGCTGGCACAAGGGTTTAACCCATTGCATCAATGGGGGCTCCATCATAACAGTTAAAGTGGTGTCAAACTGCATTAAGTATACAGTGTAGAGCCAGCCAAAATAATCTTGAACACTGCTTTCTGAGGTGGTGAGTCAAGGCTGCTTTCTGATACTATTCTTCGGTATGGAAAAGCTAGCCTGTTTTGTTTTGTTTTGGTTTTTTTGCAAATTAAGAGAGGCATCTAAAATGCTGGAGTGGGTGTGAGTGAAGATAACAAATGGCGTGTCCATACTGAATTACCAAACAACAGAAAGAGAACCTCAGTTCTTCCCATGAACATTTTTGCTTCCCTCCTGGGATGAGATGTTCCTGATGTCAGTTTCCTTATTCCAGCAAGCAAAGGGACAGTGCGGGTGGGGAAGAGGAGAGTTGTTCCAAACAACTGCATTGTGAAACAGCACAGTTGATGCGGCCAAGAATTTGTTTGTGCTGGATTTGAACCAAGTGAGTTCAGTAGGATAGTTTTCTCACAGTTTCCTCTTTTCAGATAGAAGGCACTGTAGGATTGAAGGGGAAACATTCTGCTAGTAGTATAACACCGGTATCTAGACTTTGGGTGACTATATGAAACCAAAGAAGGCATTTTTGAGTTGAGAAGCTGCTTTGAGTTTGGAAGACCTTGAGTGAATCTACACTGTAGAATGAATGTGATTTGATACCACTTTAACTGCCATGACCCCATGCTGTGAAATCATGGGAGTTGTAGTTTGACAAGATCTTTGGCCTTATCTGCCGAAGAATGTACCCAACTACAAATCCTAGTATTCCATAGCAGTTAAAGTGGTTTCAAATTGCATTAATGCTGTGGTGTAGTTGCACAATTAATTGAACCCTTGCTATGTTCTTCCCTTCCTATTTGTTTTCTCCCTTTTTTGCTGAGTCATGTTGGAGAGTTCCCTAGGATTAGTTTGCTGAGTCATGTTTTTCTGAAGTGCCTTGTCAGGTGGCTTTACACAGAGGTGCCGCGTCAGCTTCTGACATGTGAGGGGAAGTCTCCAGCTGTACACTTCCTGTTCACAAAAGCAGCCTTGGAATGGAGGAGTGACTCAGCATTTTTAGCATGCCTTAGTTTTTTTTCCATATTGTCCAAATGCCTGCTTTCTTCTGCCCTCTCTCTTTGAGGACAGAGATCTACAAAAATGGGAAGTTTTGCTTATCTTCTGATTGAGAAACAATTTAGGTTTATTTGTTTTTAAGTCAGACTTGCTGACTTCCGTAACCATGGGCGTGCTCTTGCTTTGTGTGTCACACCTTAGATCTTTCACGGATTCAGGTTGGATTTGTGTGTATGTGCTTTCAAGTTGCCCATTGACTTCTGCTGGCCCCAGAATTTTCAGAATTAAGGAATCTTCTGGGGTGACTTTGCCAATCCTTTTTTCTGAAATGTAGGCTACAGCACCTGCTTTTTATTGGAGGCCTTCCATCCAAGTACTAACCAGGTCTTACCCTGCTTCGCTTCCAAGATCAGGCGAGATCTAGTCTCTTTGCTTTTCTCTACTCATATGCTTTCCAAACTATGTGCTGGATAGGCTGATGGCTATTTTTGCCTCATGCCAGATAATGTTTTATTTATTTTGTTCACTTTATTTTCACCCTGTCATTCTCTGACTCAAGGAAGATTGGTGCCATATTTGTGCCCATTGGCCACTATTGCATTTCAATCATTTTCCCTTTTTTAGTTTCCTTCTTTCCTTTCTGGAAACTCACAATAAACTTGCAGTGAGTGGCTCAGGGACTGGCAGCAGTCCATGGGCCACTGCTATGAGTAGCACTGATCTATCATACACCAGACTTTGGGTAAAGTTTTTTTGAGGGGGGTGGGAGTACAGCTCCCAAACTCTGTCAATTCTGATATGGGTATTGGAAGATCTGTATTTATATGTTACATACAATTACAGAGAACTGGAAGAAACTGAGGCTAACTGCCTGGCAAAGCCTATAAGATGGATGGAGGGCATTTTTACAAGAAGAGTATTTGGGGAGCTTCAATCCAATAGTAAAAAAAAAGGGTAAAGGGAGAGAAGCTAGATGTAAATCGTACCACTCTGGATATTTTTCCTAACCTACTTTGCAAAGCACAGCTCAAGGCTTTCTATGATCTTCTCAGGAGTAAGTGACAATGAAACATTTTTAGACATTGATGGTGTAAAGAAACCCCCTACAGCCACTCTAGCGTTGGAGTGAACTGATCCATAGCATAGCAGAAGACACCTTCTCTGTTTCTCAAGGCTTCAGTTGAAGTCTTGACTATTTCAAATGTAGCCTTCCTTGTTTGTGACTTTCCTCCCCTTGCTTTCCTGCTTTCTGGCCTATAGGCATTTTCGTACTCTCAAAGGCCAAGCTGGCAGAGGGGAGATCGGCATGGACAAGGAAGGAGAAGGCTTTGTACCACAGTTTTAAAATCTCACTTCCTTACCTCTATATTTGCTTTCCAATATTTTCACCTTCATGCTGATCCTGCATCCCCAAACTGAATTTTCATCCGTGCAGCATTGAAGCAGGACTGGGGAGGCCTATGTTTAAATCCACATTCAACCATAAAGTTTTCTGCCTGACTGTTGGCGCATCTGTTTCCCAGACTCCTATCCTGACCTCTCTGCCAGGTGTTGATTTAAATATTGTCTCCAGAAATCTCTAGATCCTCCAGTGTGATGCTATGGTCAACTTCTTCCAGTTATGCAAGAGGACCTAGATAGAGATTACTAAAAAGAATATCTCTATAGGAATCCCTATATCCGCCAGTGCACTTTTCTTCTTAGATAAATTTTCAATTGTCAAAAAACAAAACAATATTATTGCTCACTGATTTCTCACATTCATGGGGGTTTTGTGTCCCTAACCCCAGCCTGAAATGGCTGTAGGTGGCCATCCAGTTCTTTTTGCCACTTTTGTCATCTGCAGCAACTTTTTCTCACCAGAAGAGGACACTCCTTCCATGGTCTCCTTCCCAGATTAATTTGAACGTCTGGAGCCTAGAAGTCTGAACTCAAAGAGAACATCGTGTCTGAGACATTGCAGACCAGAAACTGCCTCCTTCCAGAGCATTAACCTGACCTTTTCTTTGAACACAATAGATTCCAGAAGGCTGGGTATACCATGAATAGTAGAATCTTGTGACCTCTTGGAAGACTTACTTAATGCATTATAGCAGGGGTCCTCAAACTTTTTAAACACAGGGCCAGGTCACAGTCCCTCAAACTATTGGAAGGCCGGATTATAATTTGAAAACAAAAAGAATGAATTCCTATGAACACTGCAGATACCTTATTTGTAGTGAAAAAAACACTTAAAAACAATACAATAATTAAAATGAAGAACAATTTTAACAAATATAAACTTATTGGTATTTCAATTGGAAGTCTGGGCCTGCTTTTGGCTGATGAGATAGGATTGTTGTTGTTGTTGTTATGTGCTTCCAAGTCATTTCAAACTTAGGTTGACCCTGAGTGAGGGCCAGGTAAATGACCTTAGAGGGCCGTATCCGGCCCCCGGGCCTTAGTTTGAGGACCCCTGCATTATAGGATTAGCTTTGAATGCCTGAGATTCATTTCAGCAGATGTGTGGATGAGTTCTTTTACCCAATTGATGCCCACTAGGAGTTTGTGGTCCTAATCCCATCTTCCCTAGAAAGTATAGCGAATGGTCAAGGAAGAAGGGAGGTACAGACTAACATTTCTGGAAGCACCAGACCCAGGGAAGGGTGGGTGAAGTATTTTCCTAAACTGCAGGTATAGAGACCTCTCTGCCAATTATGTGCATGTGGCTCCATTTAACATACTTTGGAGGTGATGAAGCGGATTCTAGTCCAACAAAGTTCCATAATCCATAACAAGGTGATGGCATAACAGACATGTCAGTCTTAAAGTATTTGCTGTTGTTTTTGCTACAACAAGCTAACACAGCTGTTTGGAAATGCTGCGTCTGCAAGTAGAGTGGCCTAGATTTCTACTTTGTTGATGGCTGAATTTCATTGAAGTGGTAATTCTGGTCTGAATCTCACTGCTTCATACTATAGGTGGAGCATGTGCAGTGCACAAATGCTTCCTTCACAAAGCAGAGGCATGGAATTGTGTGTATATATGTGTTTGAATGAATCTTTGCCATGCTTTCTTTCTAGATTTATAGAGAAAAAAATTAAATTCAAAGGGAAAAATGTATACAGGAGCATGCCTTACCTTTTGCATTCCAAAATGATAGTGTATGGACTCTACATAGGATTCTAGGAGTGAAAAGCTGGCACAAGATTGCTCATTAATCTCCTCTCCCCTCAAATTAAAAATTGGGCCTGGAAAAAAAAACCTTAAAACAACAGAGCCATTAAAATGGATATTACCTTATTTGCTTTATGTTGTTGTGTGCCTTCAAATCATCTCCAATCTGTGGCGACTCTGAGCTCAGTGTTTTCTTGAAAAGATTTGTTCTGTAGAGAGTACAACATCTACCTTTACTATACAACTTGCTCATCTCCTTCTTGCCTAGCCCCATAAGCAGATGACAGGCCCTCCCTCCATCCCAACTGCTAATTCCCTGGCAGCAAAAGAAGAGGCAGTATCTGCTGGACTTAATCCCTTCCCACACTGCCATGCCTTTTTCCTTTTGTGTCATGTCCTAATTAGATTTTAAGCCTGATGGCAAGGAACTATTTTGTTGTTCTTTTAGTTGTAAAGTTCCATATATAGTGATGGCACTATATAAATAAATGATGGTGATGATACCACCGTGGATTGCTTGTCTTGCTTTGTTTTCAGGTTTAGTGATAATTCTCCTTCCTTCCTTTCTTTTCTTCTGCTCCTCACCCGACAGGTGTGCTGGCGCTCTGGGCCTTGATCACCCATGTGATGTACGTGCAGGACTACTGGAGGACTTGGCTGAAAGGATTGAAGTTCTTCCTCTTTGTGGGCATTCTCTTTGGCGTTCTCTCCGTGGTGGGCTTCTGCACATTCCTGGCCCTGGCTATCACACAACATCAGTGTAAGTGGGGGAATTCAAAGGGCTTTTCAGTTCAGCAAAAGCAGTGCTGTTTTTGTTATATCATCTTCAAAGCCAGGGCTTCTCAAACATTGTCTAATCGTGACTCCTTTTCACCTGGAAAAAATGTTGCAGCTCCTTAGCACTCAAGAAATTTTTATGCGACACAAGGTGCATAGATAATATAAAATAAGTATGAGATCAAACATTTACCAAAAATAAATCAACATTTGCAAGGCTTGCTAAACAGGCTGGTTTTAATTTTTGTGGCATACAGCTAAAACATTTTCTGCAAAGTCCACTGTAAACATGGCACCTGAGGATAACACATTTGTGTATTGGTTTTTCTTTTTTGTATTGTACTGTGTGTTTATTTTACAGTATGAGTTGTTTTTAGGCACCCTGTGTCATATGTAAACCACCCCGAGTCCCTTTGGGAAGATGGAGGCGGGGTACAAAAATAAAGTTGTTATTATTGTTGTTGTTGTTGTTGTTGTTGTTGTTGTTGTTACTGTTATTACTATTATTATTATTACTATTATAACTATCATCATTATCGTCTGAAGCTAACAGATTTGTATAAATGGGTGGTGCCCACAAGCCTTTTATTGCTGCCAGTTTTGTCATGACCTCAGCATTAAGCTAAGGGGACCCCATTTGGGGTCAGGACCCGCACTTTAAAAAACAGTGTCATAGGCAATAGTTGGGAAAGTGACTTTTTTGGCTCAGAACGCACAGAATATGTCAACCAGCACATCTGGTAGCTCTTCCTGTTAACTCTGGGAGATGTCCCCCCAAAATCAACTTCCAAAAGTCAACTTTCTGAGCTTTAGACGACTCTCTCTCATTCGTATTGCAATCTTACCTGATGACTCAAAGGTTGGAGAACCTATGGTTCATCCTAAAATTAGCAGAATAAAATGTTTACGTTAATAAATTAACTAATGTCTACCTTGTCTTTCTGCCAACCAAAGTATTCAAGGCAGCAAACAATAATGTATAGAAATAAAACAAAATCTTAATTACAGCATAAGATATAAACATATTTTAAAACACAACAAAGCAAAAAAAAAAAATCTAGCTGGTTGGACCTTCTCCACTATCAACCCAGCTCTTATACCAAAGGCCCTATCAGAAAAAAGGCCTTTGCTTGCGAATGGACATACTGGAAGAATGGAGTCCAAGTTGGCCTCCTACAGTTGGGACTTCCAGTCTGTCTGCCCAGAGGATCTTACAGGCCCAGACAGCACAGCCTATGGTTTAATGATGTGTTTTTAATCCAGCAACATTGGGAAGATACCAGGTTTCTCATCCCTGCCCTAGAAAGTTTTTTTTTTAGTTTTATAAAGGAGAAATGTACAGGATGTAAGCTCTGCGCCTTATAATGATTGCATATTCTTCAGAACTGGAGCAATGCAACTGCAAGGTCCAGGTAATCACGAAGAAGGGTGGTGCATGGCTGGTCAGTAATGGTTTGGTGGGTGTGAAGAACCCTTACCTTTAGCAGCCAGAATGTGGGCCTAGTGAAGCCCTGGCGGCCATCTTAGGATAGGGAAACAGGGAGACGCCATCTTAGGTCAGGTTTTCTTAGAGGGGGCGTGTCCTAGTCCAGTAAGCAAAGAGTAGATGGCCTGGATTGGTTAGGAATAGGAGGCGGAGCCTAACATTCAAATAGAGGAAAAAAGTATACTTTTTGAATTTGAGGCTTGAGTTTTGGCAGTTGGGATTTGTCAGTTGGGAGTTAGGTAGTCGGTTGGTGTTCACAGTTGGATAGTTCTATAGGAGAATTGGGTTAATCTTTTGTAGTATTCAAGGGCTAGAGGAATTAGCCAGGAATACTGACAGTGGGAACAGAACCTTGCTTATGGTCGGTTTCTTTTATTCCTGAGGAAGGCTAGGCCAAGGTTGTTTGGCTAGATTCCAGAAAGTGGGAATTTGGTTTGGAATTATCATCAGATATTAGTTTTCTGAGATAATCTCCTGTTTTGTTAACAGTACCCATCTAAGAATTGTACATCAAACGTAACCAAAAGCTTTTGTGCCATTAACTTACAGAAACCATTACGCATTTGTACCAGAAGAGTTTAAGCCTGTTAAATAAACGTTTTATTATACTTAACACATTACAACAGCCTGTGTGTGAACATCATTGGTATTTAAACCCTCTGAAGAAAATAAACACCATAGTAGCACAGAGGGTGTTACTAAGTATCCTCTCCACACACACACACACATATAACTCAGCCTGAATTCTAAATAAAGGTGGCAGCCTGCCCCAGTTGAAGAAACAGTTACAAAACCTCTCAGTTCAAACGTCATTAAGATATAGCTAAACACAGTTATATCTTTCCCTGTCTGATAAATTCAATTTTAAAAAAAATCTCTACTATTCGGCCTTCCTCTTCCTGATATTTCTTATAGTGGGCTTCAACCATAGAGGATCATAATTTTCTGGTCCAAGAAGTCAAGGGAGCTGACACAGAGAAAATGAGGAGCCAGGTTTACACCTGTTCACGTGATTGTCCATCTAGCCCAGAGGCAGGAATTGCTAGGCATTGTATTGCTTGGTGGTGTGCACTTCCCATTAGACCCAGATAGCATAACTCCTGGCAAGTGGTGCTAGAAGTTGCACTCTTAACAGTATCTACATGATTCCTATGTGTTAGCTGGAAACTCACAATTCAAAACTGAGTTTTAAACACAGTGTCATCTATTCTGCCTATGTCCTCAGAGAGATGGTTTTTATCAGCTTTGTTTCCTCAGGAAGCTTTTAGCAGGCACTGCTAGGGATATAAACAGAGAAGTCTTTCCAGCAGTTCCAAAATTTTGTGTTCATTCTCTTGGCATGATTGGAAGGGTGAGTGGGTGGTAACTCTCTTTGTCCTGTGGGCAAGAATTTGAAGTAATGAGCAGCCAAATCTGTTATTTCCTTTTCAACATGCATCTCTTCTTCTCTTTAGCTCTGACGGATCCAAAGAGCTACTACCTATCCTGTGTCTGGAGCGTCATCTCCTTCAAATGGGCTTTCCTCCTCAGTTTATACTCCCATCGGTATCGGAATGAGTTTGCCGACATCAGCATTCTCAGTGACTTCTAAAGCCCAGACCTCTTAATCCCGCCAAGGGAAGAAGGCCTAAGGCTGGACACTGGAGCAGGTTCTCTCAGAGCAAGGTGCTGGCGAGGGAACAAGGAGACCTAGAGGAGCCTCACAGGGCAATCCTTCTCTGCCTCTTCACCATCCGTCTGTTTGGAGCTCTTGCTTTTATCCAGTTGCGTGCTATGTTGGCTAGTTCTGTCAGTTGTATGTGTGTTTGTCTATCTATCTGTGTCTCTTCACCTTTCCTGAAAACATTTGTCCTTCTTTGGAGGGACAATTCAAGACCAGGCTTTTTGTTCCAGACTCTTCTGGGTCTGTCCCTTCCTCCACCTGCACCGCCCCATGTCTTTTGTTTCTCTCTTTCTTTTGGTAAGTTTGGAGATGAAACTCGAAAAGCTGTTGGGGAGACTGGTTTTCCATGACACTTGGCATGTTTCCTAGCCCCTTAATGACACAGCAGCTTTTTTGGTAGCCTGCAAAGTGCTTGGGAAAAGCCTAAAGAGACATGAAGCAAGAATCAGTTTTTACACCTTTCATACAGATGTATTTTCATAAGGCGAAGCATGGATCGGTTTTAAGAGAAAACTATTTTGAACAACATTACTTTTCTTCTCCTCTCCCCCCCCCCCCGCCCCCTCTAACCCTGCAATTCCTTGTGATTGTTGGTTGTGATTGTGATGGCTTTCAAAGGAAAAAGAACCTGTGGATCTTTCTGCACATTATTATGTTCCACTTCACTTCATCCTCTTTTCCTGGCACTTTTCTAGGCTGAGGGTTTAATGTTTTAAAGTTCAAACTTTCCAGATGTCTTGAACTTTGGTTCCTAGCAGAACTAATGGCAGTGGATTGTGGGACTTGTACTCCCCTAACCAGGAGTGTCAGTGTTTCTGCACTTTGATTTTGCCTGAACTAGGCACCTCTGTTGATACTATTTTTGATGTTGAAGATCATCCATATAGAATATGAAAGAACACAGAATACCTTGTGAATCTACCTTCTAACCATGTTCCTGGATTGATTTGGTAATATCTCATCTTCCCATCAGGTGCTCTATAATCTGACATTTAAGTGTGCATTTATAAAGTAAAGAAGCATATATTTTAGATTATTGAAGCTGAGGTTATATTTTATGTCCCATACATGTGTTTGGACCAAAGTATAAAATGTATGTGATACATTACAGTTCCTTTTTCTTTTGTCATTTTAACACATCTCTTCATCTAGATCAGGGATAAGTGCCATGTGACTTTTCAGATGTTATTAGGTTGCAATCCCTATCTATGCAGGCAGTGATGAAGATGCGTAGGCAATGATGCTAGGAGTTGTTACCCAATATTACATGTGTAGCCATACATTTCACATTTCCTCATATATGAAAAGATGTATGAGAATGCACCCTTAACCAGCAAATGATCATTTTATTAAATGGAAACACATCTGCACTTTGCTGCATGCTTTGTGTAGTTTTATTGGAAAAACCTAGCTTCTAAAGATCAAGTATAATTGGCAGCAGAATTGCAAGAACAAAATGAGCATGACTGTCAAAAAGTGGAACTGGGGCTCCCATTTTTCCTGCCTGACCTGGATCTACACCCACTATTTGGGAGGGAAAAGATTACTCAACTTTGCCCGAAAATGTTCAGTAGTTCCACCTTGGGGTGGGGGAGTTATTCTATAATAATAATAATAATAATAATTTATTTGTAGACTGCCCTATCTCCCCGAAGGAACTCAGGGCAGCCTTCAACAAAATAAACACAATGGCAAACATTCAGTGCCAAACAATAAATGAATAAATCGAAATGATAAATCAGACCAATGAGTATAAAAATTATAAAATAACAATTTAAATAAACATAATGGTATAACTCCCCCTCCTTTGTTCCCCTTCTACATGCATCCTATTTTGGGCAAACCGCTGAACTAACAACTGGGGGGCACAGTCTCCCTACCTGTCTTGACTTTAAGCCAAGCATTCTCTGCCCCCTCCCCAGCCCGCCCCCTCCAGACACGATATGACATTTGAGGACCAAAATAATTTAAAGTTGCAATCCTTCAAAGTCCTAGGGGATAGTGTGATTACCAACCTTCATCAGTCTGAAGCAATGCTCTGTTTAGTGTAGGATGATGCTCTGACCCAAGTTGACACTGCTAGGCTGGATGAACCCATGCAATGATTTGATAGGGATTGTGGAAACTGATAACTTCCCTATCAGTGGATTTTTGTCCATGCTTCAGTGGAACCATGCAAGACTTATTATTTGGGGCATAAGGTTCAGTACATTAGCTAGCCCCTTTAAGGATTAGACTAACTGCCCCATGAACACAGAAGTCACCAGCTGCCATTCCTGCTACACCTTTACATATCTTTATGAACAGAGTATATGGCTCTGCAGAGGCCATACAATCTATCCTATCTGTCATGACGGGCTCAATTTTCTCAGTTCTCTGGTAACAACACATTGAGAACCTTGTAAACCCCTTCATGGAATAAGGAGGGTTGACCTGCTGCATGTGAGATCATAACAGCTCTAAGGATGGACCTACAAAAGCTCACAAAGCCATTCCTGTTGGATGAGGCAGGAGGAAGGCAGTTTTAGCATATCTTCTCATCCTTTACTCAATATTTCCTCTTAAAATGGCAACTCGTGCCTTTCACAAATGACTCGCAGAGGACATTTCTAGCAGGGATCGTAGTAGGGCAGCAGGGCACATACACCTGCTCAATGGCTTCTGAATCTAGGTTGATTCTAAAGGTATCAAAACGTCTTCCTGATCTTCAGTGTTAGTAGATATCAGAAAAGCCTTCCAGAGAGCAAGAGAGGCCAAAGGAAGACATCCAATTGGCTCATGACCTGCTTTAATTGGGTTAGATAGTTGGAGATAAACCGTATTCAGCAAATGTAAGAATGATGATTAGCTGTAGCAGCACCAGAGCAGGCATGGAAAGTTGGACTCTTTTTGACAAAAACATGCTTTTCTTCCAAGCTTCATGAAAGGCTCAGTATTTAGCAAGGCATAGGACAGTGTGTGTTCAAGCAATTGCCTCGCACTGCATCCATTTGCTGCTTTTAATCCCGCTCCCCATTTCAGCCCTAGTTAACCTAGCCAGAAGATATGTATTACTTCTAGGTTTTACTCAATCTCTTCTTTAATGTTTTGTTCGGGGGGAGGCAATTAACGCACAAATATCTCATCTGGGAGAAAGCTGCTTACACACCACTTTTTCCCCTTATAAATAAAGGGGGTGATTAGTAAAATGTGTCTGTCATTGTATTATTTGCATGGAAACCCAAAAGAAGAGTGCGTAGAGAATCATATGAATGAATGCTTGGCACCCTTGGATAGTAGAACAGTGCTCTAATGATTCATTTATGACCAGAGAGAAGTTCTGATTGCAATGTATAGGATCAGGTATACACCAATACAGAGACTGGATGGTGCTCATGGTTCTTATGCATAACTTACTATTACTGAATTGTGCTGACCATACATAATTGGTCAAACACACACACTGCCATTAGAAAACAGAATGGATCCATATGTACTGTTTTAAGTATGTACCCTAGCATTAGGTAACATTGATGCAGCCATCGTTGAGCATTTGTTTTTAAAAGCGGTGCAATTTAATATAGTTAAATTCATTAGGGATGGAGTAATCTGTGGAATTTGCATTTCAATGTAGTCTTACCTAAATTTGCACTTCTGAAGCAATACACCAACCTTTAAAATGTGACCTAGTTAAATTTAGTGGCATTCTCTCTTCAAAATGTGTGTTCATAAATACATATATTAGGGGGAAGTGCAAATTTGTTTTTAAAAAAACCTTTTCAACATGCATTCTGTCCAGAAGCTTGTATAGAAAAAGGCACACCACAGCTATCTAAGGCCCCAAGAAAGAGGATCCTTTTTTATAAAGGATGTCTAGCTAGCCTCCCTGGTTCCCCCTTATCCTTTTGTCCAGCTAAACATTTTTACGCATTATTGGTACCGTCAGACTAGTGAAGGAGAGTTAGAGAAACATAGGATCTTGGTGCTGTATTGCAGTAGTGTCTGCAGTAAATAAATACGGTAAAGCTTGAGCTGGGAAACAATGGGATTCTGCTGTAGCTAATCCTACTTTGGCTGTGTGTCCTTGACTAACAATAGATAGACTGAGTAGACCATCTGCCCCCAGAATCCTTTGCTGAATGTGAATGAATAGCCAAACAGAAAGAAAAAGAGAAAACAAATATACCTGTCAACGACCCCCAGCAGGTTAAAGAAACACTGACCTAGAATAGTGGTTCTCCACCTGTGGTTCCCCAGGTGTTTTGGCCTATAACTCTCAGAAAACCCAGCCGGTTTACCAGTTGGTAGGATTTTTGGAAGTTGAAGGCAAAAACATCTGGGGATCCAAAGGTTGAGAACCACTAATGTAGAATTTTGGTCACCAAACTGGAAATTGTGGGGGGGGAAAAGGCTAATGAAAATGGGGGGAAATCTCTGAATGGGTTTGGGGGGGACGGGACGTTTCAGGAAGATGCAAAACATTGATTGACTTATGCAAGTCTTAACTGAGCTGGTTGTTTTTATTTCATACGTGCATATTGTTAGTTTTGAATAAAAACCATTTGCTAAAGTATGTTGAACTGCTTTTTTTTTTTTGTAGGACCATACTTCTGTTCTTTTCATGCTCTTTGTACTTGTGTTCTGTTAAAGAATTAATGCATCCAGATAAAGAGTGTTGTAAGGGAGACGTGCAGAGATTGGGAGATACATATGTCCTCTTGGGCTGACTAGAGGAAAGGTACATGACCTCCCACCCACCAAATAAGACAAAAAATTATCCAGTACTGGATACAGTAAGTATGGCCTCCATACCTCTGGGAGCAGTATCAATGGTTTCCTTTATCCATGTTTAACAAACTGTCATCTCTAAGTGGAATTTGCTGCCTTGGAGTGTGGTGGAGTCCCCTGTGAAGATTTTTAAGCAGAGGTGGGATGGCCATCTGTCAGGAGTGCTTTGATTATATGTTCCTACATAGCAAGAGGTTGGACTGGATGGTTCTGGTGGTCTCTTCCAACTCTATGATTCTAAGCATTTTCTAGCTCTTCCAGCGTAGCTAGTGTTCTTGGGCCAGAAGCCCTTCATTTAAATAGGGTTTTCTGTTATCCATGTTTTCTGGCTTCCACACAAAAGTCTGGGAATGTATTACTTGTGAATACAGAAATCCTAATATCTATTAAAATATCAGAGAAAGGTGGGCCATAGAAAGGGGAAGGAAGAGCAAGCTGACTGAAGGAATGTAAACATTTAAAAAGATGTTTCAGCTGGAGATAAAGTTTTTAAAACTTGGTGTGCCGATTTAGAGGTAGCAAGGCAGAGAATATCTAGCACAAGCATGGGCAAACTTTGGCTCTCCAGGTATTTTGGACTTCAACTCCCACAATTCCCAACAGCCAGTGAGTAGGCTGGGATTTCTGGGAGTTGAAGAGCAAAACACCTGGAGGACCAAAGTTTGCCCATGCCTGCTCTAGCCTATACTAGCTCAGGGTTTCCCAAATGTCATTTCAGTTCAAGCTCCATTGGGAAGGTGTGTGGCGTGAGCATTAGGATTGTCAGTATGGGATCATCCATGACATGAATCTTTCTGGGCACAAACCTGAGACCTAGGGATATCACCTAATGGTGTCAGTAAGCATTGTGCATTGACAACCAAAATCCATGGATGCTCAATTACCCTTATATACAGTGGTCTAATTTTAAAAAGTCTCATATAAAATGACAAAATAAAGTCTTGCTTTTTAGACTTTTAAAAATATTTCAAGTAGATGGGGAAAGAACATTTAATCAAGCATTTTTAAAAGCAATTGTGCGTGGACAAAGGGTGCCCAACGTGCCACATGAAAGTCACAGTGCCTCCAATGTTTTACAAGTTTATAATTGTAAAAACTTCACTTGTGTCTTCCACAGACTGTGAGGGTGCTATTGCCATGTTTTGTCTCACCTGATCTGTTTTAGGCTTGAAGAACATGTTATCAAACTCAGAAATAACATCCTATTTTGAAAAACACTTTCTCGAGGACTAACTGGTTCCGCTGGAGCATAAAAGGAGGAAAATACCCCAATGCCCTTTAGAGCAGGGGTGGAAATGGTGCAGCTGTTTGATCCTTTTGGGCTGTAATACACAGCATTTCTTTTGACTGGTTTTTCTGGCTAGGGCTGCTGGGTTTTGCAGTCCAAACCTGGAAAAGTACAATTTTGCCACCAGACTCCTTAGGAATGCTAGGGAGTGTTCGAAATAAGAGAATGGCGCTGCAGCCCTCAGATCTAGCTGGAGGAATGTGCAGTTCCTGGATGTTGCCAACCTCCTGCTCTATTTCATGCTTGCCATGTTGCTATGGTTTGGGCAGGAGCACTGCAAAATAATATATTCTCTATTGAGCTACTAGGGCTGGG